TTTTACACTCAGATTCTTTCTGCTACCTTGCGTGAAGGGGGTTTAAAAAGCTTCTTCTTTTTAGTTTTTGTTGTTTTTTGCATTTTTGGATAACACATTGCCTCAGGGGCCTATCAATCAAAAGGTGATCCAAAAATATTGGACAGAACATTCTATCTATGTGGTCACTAAGAGTTGACACTGACTTGATGGCACATAATCTATCAATCACAACCCTAATATTAAGTCAAAGTAACTGGAGCTATCCAGAGTTGAAATGAGGATGGCTGAAGAGGCTTTTCACATCTCTCTTTTCTTTTCTGTTTAATATTTCGCTTCTAATGTACATCACTAAAAAGAGGACGGTGAGATCAGCAGATTTAATTTTTTACAGATTAACAGAGTTGGAAGGGACCTTGTAGGTCATCTAGTCCAACCCCCCACCCAAGCAGGAGACCCTACACCATTTCTGACAAATGGCAGTCCAGTCTCTTCTCAAAAGTCTCCAGTGATGAAGCTCCCACAACTTCCGACGTCAAGCTATTCCATTGGTTGATTGTTCTCACTGTCAGAAAATTTCTCCTTATTTCTAGGTTGAATCTCTCCTTGATCAGTTTCCATCCATTATTCCTTGTCTGGCTTTCAGGTGCCTTGGAAAATAGCTTGTCCCCCTCCTCTCTGTGGCAGACCCTCATATATTGGAAGACTGCTATCATGTCTCCCCTGGTCCTTCTCTTCACTAGACCAGCCATGCCCAGTTCCTGCAACCGTTTTTCATATGTTTTAGTCTCCAGTCCTCTAATCATCCTGGTTGCTCTTCTCTGCACTTTTTCTAGAGTCTCAACATCTTTTTTATAGTGCGGTGACCAAAACTGGATGCAGTATTCTAGGTGTGATCTTACTAAGGCAACTTTTTGTCATGTTTTGGGACATAGGAAGCTGCATAGTGCATAGATGCCAAGACCCCGTCATATCTCCTTTAAAAGTTTTCCATAAAGGGGATTTCCCCCTTTTTTGGAGGGAGAGAACATCAGAATTTGGTGGAAAGGCAGCCACAGTAAAAAGATACTGTCCAAATTCATACCCTTTGATTTCAGAGGAAAGAAACTGGCATACTGTATCTTATAGCTGTTTAAAAATACTGTTCTAGTCACTGTGATAATGTAACCAGATCTGATCTGATTTGAACTTCTGGACCAAAGTTCAGGTCAGAACAAAGATCAAAATTATTTAGAATAATAGTAATTATATACTAAATAATATAAAATGCACCAGGCAGAAATCCATTCGGTGTGTCAATACCAGATTTCATACCTGAATTTGGAGGAAGAACTATGATTTGTACAGGTGGATTAATCACAATTTCATCAGGAGGGGTCTCTCTTTTGAGTCAATAGGAAGGTGGAAACCTTCACTGTTTGATTGACAAAAATCCTTGAAAGATCAATACAAATGGTGAATTTGTTATTGTCTATGGGGCCAGGCAGATTTCTTGTTCTTATTTTCCATTTTGGGAGTTGGAAGCATTTATGAAACGTAAAATCATATGGTAGACCTTATCATGTGGTGGGGGGGGCAGGGAGACTGTGGGTGGATGCTCGGCATGGAGACTTCAGCCAGTTTTCCAGTTCCCCAAATGACAGGTCACCAGTATGGACCTTCTTCATCTTGATGATCTTTTGCAGGCCTGCCCCACAAAATCTTGCTTGTATTTTCATTCCTTTCCTCATTCAGGTTGCACGACGTTATCACTTCCTCCTTGCTGCGTGCTTCTCCTTGTTTAGTGTCCTCTTTCTTCCGAGGACAAAGAAAGGCAGGGCAAATGAAGGAAAAGCACTGAAAGCTGAACAAGGGAGAAAGACATGCAGACATACAGTGCACTGCAGGCATAACCATTGCTATCAACTAGATTGACAAGTTACAAATATTTTGCAGGGTAGATGTGATGTGTAGATTGTGAAGCCATTGTTTTCTATGTGCATGCTGTTCAGAGAATGCTTTTTTTTCTCCTTCCCATAAATTGCTACACTCTAGTCTGGTGATGGCTAACCTTTTCCAGACCGAGTGTCCAAAGCGCGTATGTGTGTGCGTTTGTGCGAATGTGACCTAACCCCCAAAATGCAATGTGTGCAAAGTCCCATGCATGCATCCTGCCCCCCATGCATGCGAGCATAGCCTCCTGCATGTGACCTGCCCCCCACGCATGCGCCCTGCCCTCCCATATGCGTGCACGGTTCCCCCTGCATGCGTCCCACCCCCTGTGCATGCACTGCAGAGGTCCAAAGACCAGCTGGCTGATGGGAGGCGGAGCTGAACTGGAGGTGACGTCTCGCATGCCATCAGAGAGGATGATGCTTGCCACCTCTAGCATGCGTGGTGTTGTGGCCCCGCCCTCTGAGCCTGTCCCATCGGAGGAAGAAAGCTCCGAGCATGAGGAAGAGGAGTCAGCCAGGCCTCCCTCTCCAGGCCCCTCCCCTCTGGCACTGTCTCAGGTGCCGGCCGAAGGAGAGGAGATTAGCAGGGAGACAGGTGTCTCGGATGAGAGTGAAGGAGAGACATCATTCCTGGACGTACGCCTCCAAAGGCGTGATAAACGATTGCAGCAGCTCAGGAGGCGTGCTAGGGATTAGAACTGAGTCACTGGACCACACCCCAGAGACTATATAATAGAGGGTGGTGGCCAGTGATCCTTGTAATGAACAAAAGTAAACCTTGGATAGTCACTAAAGCCTCATCCGAAACTGCTGAGAGGAATAATAATTCTGTTTGACTCTTGTACGCTGAGTATATTATCTTTCTGTTCTCTGTGGAAATAAAAGCACTTGGCAGACGGTGTGTATATCGCTGCCAAGTTGGAGATAAAGACCTGGGTGTGTTCCAAGTGCTTCCTTAACCCTCAGCTGGCTGTGTTTGTGTGTGTGTGTGGATGGGGACAGATCATGTGGCATAGATTCGCCATCATGGCTCTAGTCCCATTTTTTTTTTAATGAACCTTCTACCTTAACTTCTTTGTTCACAGTTTAATGGAAACAAAGCCCCAGATAAGAACTGCTCACTTATACTGTGGTTTCCCTCTGCTCTACTTGTTCAATATATCTCTCCTACAAGTAACATTTAAATTCTAAGGTTGGATGATTTCTATAATGGTACGACAATAGAATCTTTTAGGCATGTGTGTATGGGTGTACTGCAAATGAAGGTAAATATGCATGCTCCAGATAATGTTACAGAATGTTGTACTGTCAGATGTAAATGCCTTATTCTCCAATGTGTAAATAATGTATATATGGAACATCAGAGGTTAACTTATTCTTTGGACTTTAATGTATTCATAACTTACCACTCCCATTCCTAGCTCCACCCCTTGTATATATAAGGAGCCACCCTCACCATTCTTCCCGCTTCTACCTTGAATATTCAGTGAATATAGAATGCCTATCATAATTAAAAAGAAATATATTTAAAGCTCTAACTCCTATTATCTTTATTGAGTCTGATCCTGAAAATATTGCAACATGTACCATACATACAAATGTATCAGAAGTTTTGATCACCACAAAGTAAAAAAAAAATTGGTATTGAGACTCTAGAAAGAATGCAGAGAAGAGCAACAAAGATGATTAGGGGACTGGAGGCTAAAACACATGAAGAACGGTTGCAGGAACTGGGTATGTCTCATTTAATGAAAAGAAGGACTAGGGGAGACATAATAGCAGTTTTCCAATATCTCAGGGGTTGCCACAAAGAAGAGGGAGTCAAGCTATTCTCCAAAGCACCTGAAGGCAGGGCAAGGAGCAATGGGTGGAAACTAATCAAGGAGAGAAACAACCTGGAATTAAGGAGAAATTTCCTGACAGCGAGAACAATTAATCTGTGGAACAACTTGCCTCCAGAAGTTGGTCTAACACTGGAAGTTTTTAAGAAGAGATTGAACAGCCATTTGTCTGAGCAGGGGGTTGGACTAGAAGACCTCCAAGGTTTCTTCCAACTCTGTTATTCTATTCTATTCTATTCTATTCTAAAATCAGGAAAAAATACTCTAGAAAAGTAGTAAATTGATATATCACCAAAATATATCCTTCATTCATTTAATCACTGCATTTAATCACACATAATCACACACAATAATAGTTTATTCCTGTTAAATATTATGAAATCTATATCAAACATTTCATAATATTTAGCAGGAATAAACTATTCATGTTCCATTTTTTGGATTAGTAGAAAAAGTCTTTTCCAAAACAGACAATTGTACATTTTTAAAATCTAGTCTTTGTTAAAAAAAAAAGTATTGAATGTTGATTAGTACTGAATATTGACTATTCCCATGCCTGATATAACCAAACTTTCTTAAAAGCTGTCAGGTTTAATGATTTTGGAATATAATCGAAAGCAACACTGACTTCTTTAAGTTTCATTCAGACAAAAAGGAATGTAAATTTCAAATATTTTCCCATCCATGGTTTTGAGTGATACGAGTTCTTTACTTATAATAGTAACTAGCTAAACATCTGAGGATGGCTCAGTGGCTAAGACACTGAGCTTGTCGATCGAAAGGTCGGCAGTTCAGTGGTTCGAATCCCTAGTGCTGTGGAATGGGGTGAGCTCCCGTTACTTGTCCCAGCTTCTGCCAACCTAGCAGTTCGAAAGCACGTAAAAAATGCAAGTAGAAAAATAGGGACCACCTTTGGTGGGAAGGTAACAGCATTCCGTGTGCCTTTGGCATTTAGTCATGCTGGTCACATGACCATGGAGACCTCTTCGGATAGCACTGGCTCTCCGGCTTTGAAACAGAGATGAACACTGCCCCCTAGAGTCGGGAACGACTAGCACATATGTGCAAGGGGAACCTTTATCTTTACCTTAAACATCTGAAGGATTGAGCAGGTCATATTTGGGGAGAGTCTGTTTTTATTTTAAACATCCCAATATAGAACTTATGATCTCAGTATCTGCTGGGTTAAAAGACCACAGCACACCTAGTTCAAGGTCAACTAATGTTGCCTTATTTTTTTTTCCAGAGACAGAATAGTGACTGAGCACTTCATTCCTAAGACAGAAATCCTTTCTCCTGGGTGGTCTGTCTAGGCCATCCATTGGAAACTGCAGAAGAACATACACTGAGGTTGAATGTATCAGAAGATTGCCATCAAAAGAAGGGACAGAAATGCCTCTGAATCAACACAATGTTAGGTTTCGTAAATATCACCGGCCCTTTGGCTTTTGCAAACGTATCTATTTAGACTAGAAGAAGTATTTATGAAGGGAGGAAACTGTCCTGCCCATACCACCCACTGCGATTACTATTAAAAATACCAAGATTTCCTTTTGGGTTGCCTGTAACCCCTGAAGGTTAGATGAACAATGGATTCCAAATGTTTTCTTGAGTGCCTTGTTATGATTGGATTTATGAGAAAGTTCACTTGCAACGATCCACCCTTATAAGAGCTTTGGAAAAGCAAACATTTTCCATTTTCCCTGAGCAATCAGTATACAAAGTAGAGCACAATTAAACCCACCGTGTTCTTTTGTTTCAACCAATGGTGATTTTTTTTTTTAAAAAAATAAAATAGAATTCTTTATTGGCCAAGTGTGATTGGACACATAAGGAATTTGTCTTGGTGCATATGCTGTCAGAGTACATAAAAGAAAAGATACATTCGTCAAGAATCATAAGGATCAACACTTAATGATAGTCATAGGGAACAGTCAATATAAATCTTAAGGATACCAGCAACAAGGTTATAGTCATACAGTCATAAGTGGGAGGAGATGGGAGATAGGAATGATGAGAAGATTAATAGTAATGCAGACTTAGTGAATAGTTTGACAGTGTTGAGGGAATTATTTGTTTAGCACAGTGATGGCGTCTGGGAAAAAATGTTTTTGTGTCTAGTTGTTCTGGTATGCAGTACTCTATAGCATCGTTTTGAGGGTAGGAGTTGAAACAGTTAATGTCCAAGATGTTAGGGGTCTGTAAATATTTTCACGGCCCTCTTTTTGACTTGTGCAGTATACAGGTCCTCAATGGAAGGCAGGTTGGTAGTAATTGTTTTTTCTGCAGTTCTAATTATCCTCTGAAGTCTGTGTCTGTCTTGTTGGGTTGCAGAGCCCAACCAGAAAGTTATAGAGGTGCAAATGACAGACTCAATAATTCCTCTGCAGCTCTTTGGGCAGTTTGAGCTTTCTGAGTTGGCGCAGAAAGAACATTCTTTGTTGTGCTTTTTTGATGATGTTTTTGATGTTGAGTGTCCACTTTAGGTCATAAGATGTGGTAGAACCTAGAAATTTGAAGGTCTCTACTGTTGATACTGTGTTGTCTAGAATTATAAGCGATGGTAGTATGGGAGGGTTTCTCCTAAAGTCCACCACCATTTCTACGGTTTTGAGTGTATTCAGTTCCAGATTGTTCCAGTCGCACCACAAGACTAGTTGTTCAACCTCCCGTCTGTATGCGGATTCATCATTGTCTCGAATGAGATCGATCACTGTTGTGTCATCTGCGAACTTCAATAGTTTAACAGATGGATCTTTTGAGATGCAGTCATTGGTATATAGAGAAAAGAGAAGTGGAGAGAGCACACAGCCTTGTGGAGCCCCTGTGCTAATTGTACAGGTATCTGATGTGATTCTGCTTAGCTTCACCTGCTGCTTCCTGTCTGTTAGGAAGCTTATGATCCATTTACAAGTGCGTTCAGGTACCTGTAGCTGGTTTAGCTTAGTTAGAAGAGTGTCTGGAATGATGGTGTTGAATGCTGAACTAAATTCTACAAAGTGGACCCTTGCATGGGTCTTTGGAGATTCAAAATGTTATAGGATGTAGTGCAGAGCCATATTAACAGCATCATTTGTTGATCTATTTGCTCGGTATGCAAATTGCAGGGGGTCTAACAGTGGATCCATGATGGTTTTCAAATGGGACAGCTCTAGCCTTTCAAAGGTTTTCATAACTACAGATATTAGAGCAACTGGTCTGTAGTCATTCAGTTCTGTGATATTGGGCTTCTTCAGCACTGGGATGATAGTAGAGCATTTGAAGTAAGAAGGAACATAGCACATCTCTAGCGATTTATTGAAGATACGGGTGAAGATGGGGGGCAATTGGTCAGCACAGACTTTTAAGCAAGAAGGAGTTATCTTGTCTGGGCCTGGAGCTTTTCCTGGTTTTTGTCTGTGAAATAGGTCTTGCACTTCCTTTTCTGTGATCACTAGGGGTTGTGAACCCAATGGGGTGGGGTCAGTTGTAGGAGGTTTGGCTGTTGTTGTTGTGTCTGAGATGGGGGTTGTGGAGATAGGTGGCTGTAGTTTCCTTTCAAACCTGCAGTAAAACACGTTCAGGTCATCTGCCAGTTGTTGATTTCCTTCAGCCTGGGAAGAAGGTTTGCCATAACCGGTGTTATTTTTAAGAGTTTTCCACATGTTTGCTGGTTCATTTCTTGAGAACTGATTCTTTAGCTTTTCAGAGTAGCTTCTTTTTGCTGCTCTGATCTCACTTGTTAATACATTTCTGGCTTGATGTACAGCATTTTATCACCTTTTCTGTAGGCTTCCTCTTTGGAACGATGTAGCTGCTTAAGTTTAGCTGTGAACCAAGGTTTGTTGTAACTGTATATTCGCAAGTTCCTGGTGGGTACACATAGGTCTTCATAGAAGCTGACATATGATGTTACAGTATCTGTGAGTTCATCTAAGTCTGCAGAGGTACTTTCAGATGAGCAGTTCCCAAAATGATTCTTCAGTGAATTGTTTTTAAAATTAATGAAAAAAAATAAAATCTATACACCCTTTATGCTCCCATCCATCATTACAATATTGATAGTACAGATTGTCTATGTAACTCAAAAAGATAAGTACGACTTGAATTTAGGAAACTGTCTTGGACCAATGAGTCCATCTGAGCTGCTACTGACGGAGCTTCATCAGTTTTATAGACAGAAGTCTTTTTCATCAGACATTGTTTGACCTTGTTCAATACAATGCAATGCATACAATTCAATACAATGTCTGGGGTTAATCCTACGGCCTTCTGAGTCAAAACCTGTGCCCTAATTCCCTTTCTCAAAATGTCTCAGTAATAATTTGCCTATTGTATTAACAACCTTACCATGCTGTTAAAATGGCAAATTCCAAAGTTCAGTAGGATCCATGTAAGATGGTCTCACATTTTCATATTTCACATTGGCAATCAACCAATGGAACAGCTTGACTTCAGTTGTGGAGGCTTCATCACTGGAAGCTTTCAAGAAGAGACTGGACTGCTGTCTGTCAGAAATGGTGTAGGGTCTGCTTGGGCGGGGGGTTGGACTAGATGACCTACAAAGTGCCTTCCAACTCTGTTAATCTGTATGAATCTGAATAAGGCTTAATTTACCCATTTTCCCATAAGAACCAGTCTCCTCAAGCTATAACTGGATGGGGAATTTTGGGAGTTGAAGTCCACAGGTCTTAAAGTTGCCAAGATTGAACACACTTGACCTATGTTATTCCCATCCTCTCATGGTTGAAAGCAGTACTCTAATCTGCTCTATGGAATGGAGGCAATATATGGCTTACTGACTTTTTTAAAAAATCTGGATATATGAGCAATAATTCAAAGAAAAGCTATCTTCTCTTTAGAGACAAACTTCCCTAACATCCAGAGTTTCTTTTATTCTTTTCATTTTTTAGTTGTCGTTCCTTTATCTTCTTCTCTGAATTTAGAATAGGGCCATGATCCTTCATCAGTAGATTAATTTATCAAATTTTCTTTATCAAATTAAAATTTTACCTCACTTGAACTATAATTGGTTAATTAATCAGAGCTTCAGGATCAAATTAGATATCAGTGGCAACATGGAATGACCTGCCCCTGGAGATATGTAGGATCCCAGTTCTCTGTGCTTTTCGCCATGCCCTTCAAACTTTTTTTATTTCATCAAGCTGGGCTGGCTTGACCCCCCCCCCTTTAGATATTTTTAATTGCTAAATTGGTTTTAGTTTGGATATTTTAAATTTTATTGGGCCAATACTAGTTTAATTCTTTTAAAATTTTAAATTTTGTATGCGCTGTTTTTATCTTTGGCTGTGCACCGCCCTGAGTCCAGTAGGAGAAGGGCGGTATAAAAATCGAATAAAATAAATAAATAAATAAATAAATAAATAAACATCCAACATGGCAACGCTAGCAATTAGTGAATTAGGGGCTAATGGGAATAAAAGGCAGGTCTTCCCAGTTAATTGTTTTCATAATAAAATTTGTTTCCAGTTTTCAGATTCTGCTGAGAAAAAACCCCTCAATAAAATAAAACAAAATTGGGAGTGATATTTGAGGGACAAGCAGACTGAGATAAATTCCTTATTATATCCTATTAAAAAGATTCATCTCAGTCTTTAGAGAACCTGTTTCTTTATCACAGAAACTGGTAGGACAAAATGTTGGTGATGTCCTTGAATTCTTCTGTATTCTTCTCTTTATAAATGTAGATTTGTTCATAGGTATTTCATTTATTGATTTGATTTGTACATGGCTTTTCTAAGCAAGCAAGAATTCAAGGTGATCCAGAACAAAATCCAAGAAGTTAAAACCTAATTAAAATTAAAATTGACCCTCAATTAAAGGTTGGCTTCTTAAATATTATAATTATTATAATGTCAGACTCATAGGAAACATAGGAAAGAGTTTAATCATTATGTCATTTCACTTTTTTGGCATTGTTATTTTTCTACAAAATCTTCTACAGCCATAGTCTCAGTGAAGAGTTCAGGAGCACCGGTGTTCTTGGAGAACTTTCTTGCTATCCATAAGGCTTCTTGGCCTACCTGCTTATTTTGATTTCAGTCCCTCATTATACAATAATAATTTTCCCAGCATAAGCATCTTTCTGTACAAATTGACAATTCTGTAAATGCTGGGCCTCCTTAAGTATTACTGGATTTGGGGCAGAGCACACAGATTCACTTGAAAAAGAGGCCGTAACTTTCCTGTACCTCAGTTGATTATTTCTTGCCGAATTTCTACAGCACTGAAATGCAATTAGATTTTATCCTCCTCAGGTTGAATCACACAGTCACCCATTTGCATGATGTTGACTTTTCAATGTCCAACATGACTTGGAGAAAATAGAGAAAAATATATAGGAGAAAAAGGTTTAATCATTTTTATTAAGGCTCAAGGTTGACTCAGCCTTCCATCCTTCCAAGGTCGGTTAAACGAGAACCCAGATTGTTAGAGGCAAATATGCTGATTCTGTAAACTGCTTAGAGAGGGCCGTAAACCACTGTGAAGTGCTATATAAGTTATATAAGTCTAACTATTATTGCTATTATTAAGTGCTATTATCTCCACCATACAAAGTTGGCCATGATCTCTTCAGAGCAAAGTGCCTTCTCACCTTTATGGTAGGTGAGAATTAAACATTCTCCTAGAACAGATATTTTTTCTTCTATTCTCTACAAATAACTGCATTTACATGAAATAAGCCTGCCTGCCTGCCTGCCGGCCTTTCTTCCTTCCCTCCCTCCCTCCCTCCCTCCCTCCTTCCTTCCTTCCTTCCTTCCT